TATATATAAAACGTATTTTTATTCCCTATTTTCACTAAAAAAAAACCAACATTGTCAATAGGCTATTTTTCCGTAGGTAATAATTGTACCGAATATCATTCAAAAGAAATTTTTAAAAAATGTTCAATCCCTTCTTCAAATGATTATTCGATGAAGAAAAAGAAAGAAAATATTTCATTGAAACAATTTAAAATAATACCCTATTCGAATTTTCCTTCTGAAATCACTGGAAGCAGTTTGACTTAACCGCAGCCATAAAGTTTATGGTTAGAACATATTTTTTTTTTATCTTTATGGTTTTGAAAGCCATTTATGACTGTTCGGTTAAAAAACAGAGAATACAAAACTATGTGATTTTGAAGCCATTTGCAACTAGCATAGTTTCTAAACCATAAAAATGAAACTAAACCGAGCTGGATGCTGCGTATTCTATGCGTGAATAATGTTTATTTATGATTATGATGTTTATTTATGCTTATTTTATTGAAGGTCACCGACTCATCATGTAATGTAGGAATGAACGAAATATTGAAGTACCAACATAGGGATTCGAACATCGGTTCAGCAGGTTATGAGATTGACCAATTAGCCCTTTAGCTACACGGAGCAAAGTAAAAGGTAACTCTAGATGGCGCGGATAGAATTCTGGTTGTTTAGCCGTATTAGGAAAAAAAAATCAAAAAATGTTTTTTTCAAGCTTAACTGCTTGAATATGGCTATATGAACTGTTTGAATATGGCTATATGTTTTTTTTATGGTTATTTGACTGATTTTGTTGAATACAGTAAAATAACAATTAAATGAATTGCTATTTGACCGTTTGTGCCAAAACATTTATATCAGTGTACGAGAATAAATATTTCCGCTAAAAAATTTCCTTTACAACACCGTGATCAACTAATCTAAATCATAGGAGTTAAAATATGTAACAAATATTTCATAAAAATATTTAACTCAGAAGTTTCTCTTCTTATCGCTTAATCTTCGATTCTGAATAATTGCTTTTAAAACAGCGAGGAAAATATCTAGGTTGTATGTAATCGTCTCACATGAGATTTCCTTGAAAATATTCCCTATAAAGGTTACTTTTTCCAAAGATTCTTGGTAGAACGTTGCCACCGAAAAATTTCCTGCGCTTATTTCCGGTAGCCTTTTTTTTTTTTAAATCGGAAATCACAAAGAATATATTCTTGTAATCTTCACATTCAAATCAAATGAAAGCATTATTGTTTCCGATATTTTTAAGAAATCTTGGGTCTACACTCTAAAAGTTTCCACATTTGAATCAAACGTACTTATTCATGATTATATTATAATCCCCATATCAGTTACAGTTCTTTAGTAAACACGTTAGCACGGTTTTTAAATTTAAATCAAACATATTTATGAACATAAAGTGTTTCTTTTATTTATACTAGTCATGTTGCTACGAAGATACTTTAAATATTGTTTGATTTAAATCAAATGACAGCATTAGTATTTCTAGATTTTTAATAAATCTTGAATCTACGCTCTAATAGTTTCTACATTTAAATCAAATAAACATATTTATTAACAATGTTCCCAACATTACTGACAGTTCTTTGATGAATAAGTTCACTCGGTTTCCCCATTTAAATCAAATAAACATGTTTATGGACATATTGTGTTTACTTCATTTTTATCATTTCTATAACGAAGATACTTTAAAGATTTTCACATTTAAAACAAATTAATAAATTTACAGCAGAATATATTTCTAATATCACTAATAGTCCTGTGGTTAAAAAATTCGATTTTAATTAAAAGTCTTATATTACAAGTCCTTTGATTAACAATTTTCAATAGTTTCATCATTTTAAAGAAATTACACTATATATTTGTTTCAATGTTCTGAACATATTCCTAGCACTTATGTTTCAACACTAGATGTTTTCTTCAGCACTTATGTTTATACACAATGTTCCAGATTATATTTTAACTGCTTACCTTTTTATAAGGTCTATTATAAAAAATTCCTCGATCAAATGTCCATTACACTTAATCGGGGTTGCTGTTTTTGCTTTACCATAGCAGCACATTTGGAATAATTTTTTTTAAATTTAAATTTTTCTTAAAAATGACACAAAAATTTGAAATTTGAATAAAAAAAAATCCAGCTTAGCAAAATACATTAAAAAATAAGCTTGAATGTAACTCTAGTAATCTGTATGGTTTTCGTCAGATTAATATAAAAAAGAATATTCGCTACGTATATCAATAATTTCATGTATTCTATAAATATATATATTTGTATATATATAAAATTAGGTCTTTAGCAAAATTTATCCTTTACAAAATAGTAATTCATCAATTTCTTATGGTATTTATTTTTTTGCAAAAAATAGTTGTTTAATATTAGTTTTAAAGTTTGTTTTTGTTCCCTTCAATACAGAAATCTGTAGTTTAACATTTGCTTATTTTCACTTATTTGTCATTAAAATGAAATATTAATATTAAAAAAAGTTGAAAGCAATGTATTAAAATTTATTTATTTTATCAATTAATTTCAGAATAAAATAATTGTAAAATTAGGTTACTTTTTCAGAGAAATAACATAGTTAGACTCAAAGAAAATTTGAGAGGATATTCATTACGACAGATAGGAATATTTTAACTAAAGCTGTTCGCAGAAACATTTCAAATCTTACCTGAGAAAGCATTTTTCTTTTAAAACTTTGTACCTGAGATAAACTAGGATAGGATATGGAAGAGTACTCTGAAGCTGTGGTTTGTGAAATCTTTGAATTGGGCATCAGCTTTTATAGTCCTTTCAAACTCAAAAGTTGTTAAGGAATCTTGAATTTGAAACCCACGTGACTGTCAAGTTATTTTTTTTAAATGGCAGTAAAATAAATAACATTCGCAAAGGATGCCACAGTAATTTTTCGAAAATATATAGTTCAAAATCTTGAATGAAATTTTTTTTTGGAAAGGGAGAGTAGGTTTTGAAAAAAGAAAGAGACAATTTTCGTAAGTAGGTGAAGTTATGATAATTTGAAATCGTTTGTTAACAGAAAAGCGTTCTTTTTAATGGTCTCTCTTCATTGTGATTTTTTTGATATTCAAAGCAAATTGTTAAAAAAAAATGAACAGTTACAGGTAAGTATTTAAAGGGAAGGACATGTACTTTTTAAATATTTACTAATTTACGCTATTCATAACGAATCATTTTAGTAAATCATATGTTATGAGTTGCTTTAAAATATTACTTCTTTTGAATTCAAACATCGCCTTAATACATTGATCTTTTCTGTTTTAGTAATTGGAAATTATGATTTATATAAACTTACTTTGAGTTGAAAACTAAATTTCTTGCATTTCACTTATGATTAAAAACTATTATAAAATCAAATTTATGAGAAACCGAATTTATGGATTCTATACAAAAGATTCTCAGAAAACGTTTGAGTATAAAACGATGAAAAAAATTGTTTTTATACGTTTCATTTTAAAATCTTTTCGTTAAAATGTATACGTTTCATTTTAAAATCTATTATCAAATAAAATAATGAAAATTTACTGAAATTTCTTTATTTTTTTTTTTCATAGAATTATCTTTGGGTAAATGAATTTTATAATTGTGTGAACAAAATGTTCAACTTTGCTTAAAAAAGCTGTCGAGATATGGTGAAATACGCAAAAACTAAACTTAGCATTAAGGGATCTGAACCTTGAATCAGTCTCCTGACCAAATTATTGGGACCATGTTTCTCAGATTGTAGCTACCCCCTATATTTTGAGATTTTTCCTATATGTATTTCGATAAACTTTGATAAAAGATGTGTTTATTCAGAGAAATTACATTTTTGTGTCTGATTTCATAACTTAAATTATCATCTGCACTAAATAATTAGCATATTTGAAGTCATTTCCTTGAACCATTAAGTCCATGAACGTGAAGATCCGATCTTGAGAACAAAAGTTACTCAGGGTGGTCCAGCTATTTATTAATCTTTTTCTTGCTGTAAATCCGAGCTATTGTCCAATTTGAGAATTATTTTTAAAATACACAGACCATTCCGTAAAGCACACAAAGTTTTTCTCTTTTGTGCTGAAACGCTTTATCACGAAATATCCAATATCCAAAACGTTACCAATGAAGCTGTCTTTCATTACTCTAAATGCTCAATCAGGGGTCTGCTACTAATTATAAAAAAATTTCCTTTTCTTTTATTTTCTTCTAATTTTAGGAAGTAATGCGTTGTGATAAATAATTTAATTGAAGCAGAAATGTCTAAAATGTATTCCAAATAAATTTGGAAAAAATTTAATAAATATTTAAAGTTCTAAAAATTGCTAAATACAGAGTAGTCTTAATCCCTTACCTTCTTTAATGCTATTTTCTAGCTTATATTCTGTTAAAAATAGATAACGGGTTGAGGTGCTCTGATTTCTTACAGTTTTGCATCTATTAGGAAATAATAGAAACTACTGAGAATTTGATTATTTCCTAAGAAAAAAAGAAAAGCTGAAATGAAAATAGAACAATTAAGAAATTAAGATTTAATACGTTTCATTAAGTTTTTTCAAATGCTTATAAATTGCAAGTAAAATGTTCCCAATATAAGATTAAAATGCAGAGAAAACAAAGAAAGAAATAAAGAAGGGAAAAATGAAAATGAAAAAAGTAATGCATAAAAATATTAAAAAAATGTTAAATATAAAAATCAGACAAAATTAGTAAAAATAATAAGGAAACGATTCAACCTTGTAATCAGCTCACACAATTATATTCTTAAAAATAGTATTTTCTAATGCTGTATTAATATAGCGAAAGCAATTACATAGCTTAGACATAGCTTTATATGCTCTTGTATGTTCCTATTTATGCTTTGTTTTCTATTTGCCTTGAATTTTTGTGATATTTACATCATAAAACTTCAGTATTCGATTTGGAATTTTTCCTTGGGATGCTTCTCACACTGCAGCATTGATGATATATTAATACAGTTTTAGAAAGCTTTGTTTTTGCAGGTATAATCGTGAACGATCGTTATGACTAGATCTTAATTAGTTGTTATTATATTTTCCAATTTTGGCCAATTTATAAATTTTGAAATTTTTATTTTTTATTTTTTCCCCTTTCTTATTCCTGTCCTTGTTTTTTTTAAAAAATAACTAGAGTTATTTTATAAAATAACTATAAAATATCTCTAGTTATTTTATAAAATAACTAGACAAGTCCACTAAAATATAAAATGGTTGAAAAATTTCATAATTTACTTAGTTATTCCATGAAGTAACTAACGATAAACCGTTGAAGCTAAAAATAAACAATTTCAATTTTTTTTGATAAATTAATGTCAGAAAAATCCGCTAAGTCTCTCGAAAAATACATATTATCCCTATTGCAGATGATAAAAGAAAGGAAAAGCAGATGATACAATTAGTGCTCATATTCATAACTACGTCTAAGTGCAACGAAATGAAGCGTACACATTGCAAAGCAGCTATAAGCGGTTCAAAACTACCTAAAAGCTAGCTAGAACCGGTTCAAAGAACTTTCGAGTGCAGTATTTCACACTTTAGCAATCAAGCAATCGTTATTCTACAGAATATCTAGTTGGATCTTAGAATTCAATAATTTCATACATTTTAACTAACTAGTCAAGATATTTCATGAAATACCTAGAAAATTTTAAAGAAGAAAACAATGAAAAATACAAAAATGATAACCGAAGCTGACGTCGTCAGGGGGTGTAAAATCCCCGGAAGTCATAAAAACACAAAAGTCTTTTCGATCGAGAAAGCACGTAAATATCTAAAAATTGCTTAAAATTGCTAAAATCAACGAATTTTCAGAAAGTTGTGTGCTTCGGCTTAAAATAGGAATATTTTTGAGTAGGTTTTTCGCACATTGTTTTCCTTTTGTATTAGTTTATGTATTTTACGTTAGTATTCTGTTTTTGTATTTTATATTTCTTTCCTCTCTTCCTGGACTTTTTAACAAAACCTTTGGGGTATATAGAGAGCAATTTTTAGACATTAGTCGTGCTCTCTGGTACCCCCTGATGACGTCAGCTTCGGTTGTTATTTTTACATATTTCATTATTTTCATTGTTTTCTTCTGTAAAATTTTCTATTGGTTTCAATTTTCTTACGGAGTTTCTACTGCATTCCATGCTTTCTCTACATTTTGAACTTATTTTATGACTTCTATTTACTTGCAGCTTATGCGCAATAAATAAAACGTATCGTTTTTCTTAATTTTCTTCTTGTTTTCTTTGCCCTTTATGTATTTATATATATATAAATACATAAGCTGACGTCTATATATAGTATATATATATATATATATATATATAGAATTTATGCTTGAGTTAGCTTTGATTTCATTTTTAACTTGATTTTTATTCCTTTAAACATACTTAATATGATTTTTTTTATATTGTAAAACGAATCATGAAAAGAAAAATATATTCGTAAGTATTACACATGTTATATGAATCATTTTCACTTTGTTACTTTTTGCTCGTTATTCGAACTCTTGCGAAATCTCTCCCACGAACTCTTATTATTTTTTTTTATTTAATGATACGATGATTATATTATTACTTACAAATTCTAAATCTATCGTGTTTCGTCTGGATCTAGAGAAATCAGTTATATTACGCATTAAATATCAGCAAAATGGCTCAGTGAAATGCGTCGCAAATTAATTCGGATTATACTTAAGTAAGCATATTGCAATTATCTATAATACATGTAATATTAAACGTAAATACTTAATGAGCTAAAATTTCACTAATTAAAAAAAATTACATTAAATGTTTATGCAAGTTGAAAGGGAAAAGGAAATGTAAAATAAAAATTAAAATTTGTCAGATATTTTAATTTTATAATACATGTAATTACTCAATATTTTATGTAATTAAAAAAATTAGAACTAAATTAAACGTTTTAGTAAGTTGACTATATAAGGGAAAATGAAATGTAAAATATTCGTTATATATTTATAACTATATAATACATGTGATTATATAATATTTAATGTAATTACTTAATGTAGTAAAATTTCATTAATTAAAAAATTTGGAATTAAATTTATTTTTTTGTAAGTTGACTAAATAAGAAAAAAAATATAAATAGCAATTGTTTATTATGTTATTTATTTTGTAGTTACATATTTTTTTTTAAATATGTTGATAAACTCAAGTAATTAAAGTCACCAACAATTAAAAATATTAAAATTCAAGCTGCACATTAAGTGCAGGTTCGTTGGGAAAATTACGTGGATGTGAACAGATTGCTTTTCTTGATTATCATCATTAATCATTTTTAAGAAAAACATCAAAACCAGTTTGATTACTGGGTCAAACTNACGTACGTAATTTTTGTATTAAAGTAGCTTGCTAGTCTCTTCTTCTGCGCCGCTGCGAATGCGCTATTTACTACCTAGGTCATCTCAGCAATATCAGGGAACTGTGGATAAGCTCTATATATATATATATATATATATAAATAAACTAAATCCTGAATCCCTAAAATATTTTTCTTATCGAAACAAACTCCTCATCCCATGATCACGGAATTGATGTAATTTCATTTTTAATAATAAAATTCAATTCCCGGTATTTTGCAAGTATTGACATTGGTTGCTCTACTTTAAATCCACAAAATGATTTAAAATAAATGAGGTGAACAACTTCCTTACCACAAGAGTAAGAAACGAAATAATACTTATGAATTATCAACATTTAATAAGAACGTTAAATTTAAATTTCATACAGTGAACCAATTTTTCACGAACAATGGTGAACTTACACAACGCGATTCTAACAATTTAGACTGTCTCATAAGGTCTTCCTTCGTGAAGTATTCTTCAAAGCGCTTCGCTTCAATTACTGAAATCTAAAATCTAATTTCAAAATTAAAAGGTTGAAATTGTTGTGGTTTTATTCCGGTTTAGAAAAGTAGGTATTGTTCGCAGAATCACGCGATCGGGTCACCTGTCGAATGAGATTTTATTTTTAAGAGGAACTTTCATTTCTCCCACATTCTTTAAGCAATCTAGAGTAGATGTTTACGATAACATGATTTTCTGCTTATAGTTACTCTTTTATGAGTAAATAAATGAAGTAAAGAGAAAAAAATGCAATGCTAGGTTTTTTTCTTTTCCGTATCTCAATAGAGGGGGGGGGGGTTGAAAATTGCTTTTGAGATTTTAAGATGAAAACGAAACTACATTCATATTTTATTGTATATTTATATTTCTTTCTTTCTATATTTATATTTATAATATTTTGAAATATGTTATTATATATTCATGCACTTGTATTCATATTTTAAATATGTTTTTATTATAAAACAGCTTAAAAGGAAAATTAAATTCAAAATGTATGAATGAAATTTTTGTTAGAAATTTATAAATAAATTAAGCGTTTGAGGTAAATAAAAATTTGAAATGTATACATAAATAATTAATAAATTTGGACGGCTAAAATATTTTAAGTGATATCTTTAAGCAAATAATAAGAAAATTCGGATTATTTTATATTTCTGCAGTAAGGGAAATATAATAGCATCTTTCGTTAGGGATCAAAAAAAATATCTTCAATCAATTAGAGGGCATGCCCTCTGGGATGAACTTAAGAGGAGACAAGAGTTATTTTTCTTTTAAAAAGAATGAATAAGAATGTGAAATTAACTGTAAGTTATTCATTTTTGTTGTCACGTTTAAATATTTTGGATATTAAAGCATATTTTTGTACGTTTTCTCTCAAACACACGACTATTGCAAACACGCAATAAATACTAGTAGTACATTCCAATCTAGATTCTAGATTATTTCAAATAAATTTAGTCAGTATTTATTTATTTGATTTCATATTTTCTAATAATTATATGTTCCAAAATTATCTATATGAAGTCTACTAAATTTTACGTATGAAATTGTTATTTTCTATTAATAACCAGCTTTAGTTTCACATCTTGATTGTACTATTTGTATTGACCTAATATAGCGGTGGTGGTATAAGAGGCATCACGTCATTGTGAAATGAGGGTACAGAGACGACTGAAAGATTGAGAACCATTATCCTATCTGAAATAATGAACAGAGCACGAAGTAAGAAAAAAAAACGAAACGTTAATAAATTTTGATGTAGTGATTGTATTTTTACGATAATTTAAATAGTACAGGGAACAAGTTTTAGCTACTCTAATTAAATCTAGAAAGTAATATTTTAAGTAATGAACGTGAAAGTTGAAACGTGGTTTGTTTGAATAAAAATTCATTTTTTCCCCCGAATTCGTTTCCTTGTTTCTTAAAATTTGTTTAAAGAAGAAAATGCTTAAAACCTCGAACACCATAATGTTAATTTTTTTTCAGTCTGACCAATGTAAAAGAATTCATATTTTCAAATTTATTTCTCAAAAGCTATTTGGCAGATTCCACTAAAATCTTGAATTTTGTCATTTAAAATAGTGAATACTGAATTTTAAATCACCATTGTTAAAAATGACGTAAACTTATTCATGTCCTACAATTCAAAACGTTTTAGCCATTTCAAAAAAAATAAAATAATCATAAAATTGAGTATTTTTTAAGCAATATTATTTTTTGATGAATGGGTGTTACAATTTGTGAGTAAAATTACTTAGATCTTATAATAATTTCAGAGAAATATCGATAATTCCTCATAATTACATAACATAATTAACATAAAGAGGCTCAAAATTTTTATTGATCCATTGGAGCCGTATTTTTGAAATGGCAATTTCACCCTATATTCTGAGAATCCAAAGAAACAATCCATAGAATGAGAGACTTTTATTGATCACTTGCATAATCTATAGGAGCAATAATTTTGAAATAGCAATTTCACCCTGTATTTAAAGTTTTTTTTTGCGCGATATATATATCGAGCGTGTTTCGCAGAGTTATTTTACGAACCATTTAATTAGATTTTAACATTTCTCCAAATCTTATTCTTTACTCTATCAAGTATATTATTTTTCCATGAATATAGTAATTAAATTTTGTTTTAGTACTTTAATTTATGTTTTCCAATAAAGTAAGATTCCTCTTTAAATTATTGTCAAGCTTCTATTGAAATAAAACTTAGAATTATTGCCAGCTAACTGATAATTAAATCTTGTTAAGAAATTAAAAAATATTCTGCTGATCAAAATTTTTCGATGCAGAACAGCTGACTATTTACTAAGCATACTATTTTTTTTCAAAAAATGCAGATAAATTATGGATTGTCTTTTTTTATTACTGTTTCTTATTTATTTGTGTAATAAAAAGTAAATGCGTATGTGTTCACAGCAACTGTTTGTTTTGTTATTTAAATGACCGTAAAAAGTTTGGACCTACGATTTTATTTTAACGTTCTAAGTTATTCTTGCCCTCTAACTTTAAGAAAGTTGCCCCTTTAAAAGGACAATGTTGAAAAAATTTGCTTAAAAAGTTGTACCTCGCTTGTCTCTATATCAATATTATATGCGTAAAAGGTATAAATAAACAACTCTACTTTTTCTATAAAAGAACTCTTATGACTTTTGAGCTATTAGCTCAATTTAAGGCTCATCTACTGTAAGAGCTAAGGTGTCTCCCATTATGGAGCCACACGTGGTTTACTTTGATATTCAATGTAAAAATTAAGTTTAGAATAGAATTGCTTTTAAAAAAGTGATTCATGACGCATTTATTATATGATTAGTGTGGTGATGTTTGTGTTGAATAAATACATTTCATAGAATTACTTTTATGTAATAACATCAAATTAATTTATGAAACCAAAATATTTACTAGTCATATTTATTTAAACATTTAGTACATACCACAATAACATATTACAATCACAGCACTATACTGTAAGAAAAATGTAAATTCAAACTAAATTTTGAATTTTTTGTTTTGAAACTTAGATGTTATTGAAGCTTAACTTATTTTTATACAAATTATCTATGCATACGCTTCAACCGATATTAATTTTTTAATTATAGTTAAATAAGAAATATAAGTAATGATTAAAATCATTGAAATTATTTAAAATGCCATTAATTTATATGTAAGAAAAATTTAATTTCCAGAAGATAGAATGGTTACAAAGGAAAAAAGTCACAGTCTTTAACTCAGGCTATAATTTAGTTTCATTATCTTATATAGTCAAACTTATGAATAGTATAACTTATGAAATATCAAAAAAGATTTCCCTGCTCATATCAATTACAATATTATCCTTCACAACAAATAATATATCAATAATATAATTTCTTTAATCAGTATTCTTTAGAAGAAAAGATAAAAAAAAAATCTGAAATTTAATTCTCAAAAATTACATTAAAAAATTTTAATTGATAAATTGTAACCGTAATAAATGTTTATTCAAATAACTGACTATTATTTTCAGGAATATTTTTAATGTCATTGAAAATAATTATTTTCTGACTAGGTAGAAAAAGCACAGAAGCTGATTCTGTATATTTGAAGAAAAAAAATTAAATTCTAATTTAAATTAGCAAATATATTTAATTAAGTAGAATATATTGTTGAAATAATCAGTACGGTGATAAGAAGAATTTAGTTACATATCCATTAAAACGAAGTGAAAAATATATTTTACTACAATATCAATGATGTTTTAGTTTGTTGAAAGCGTAATACAAAATATTTTTCAGAATTTAGAAACATTTGAATTTAAAATCATTTGAATTTAAATAAATTATTAAATTTTAAATAAAATATTTTATAATTTTTAAATATTTTTACAAAATTAGCTTCCATACACTAAGAAAAAATGCATGGTCGAAACTATCAGAATGTGATAAAATTTACCGTTTTTCTGGTTCTTTGGAGACAACAAAAAGCTCCGTATTTTTTACCGAAGTGTTTTGGCAATAATTTTGGAATGATAAAAAATAAAATACAGTTTTATGGTTATGTGTGATGGTTATGTGTATGTGTTTTATGTTATACGTATGTGTTTTATGGTTATGTGTATGTGTTTTATGGTTATGTGGTAAAATTTGGTAATTTTATCATATCTTAGAGCATGCGAATGAACTATTCATTCAGTAATATTTACTTTCAGTTATGTATTTTTTACTAAATGTGAGGAAAAAGAAACTAGAACTTTGAAAACCAGAATTTTCGGTAAACTGATATCATAGGAACTGAAAAATTACCAAATGAACGGTTTAATTATTGTATATTTGGGTTTTTATTACTAGAATCATTTAGTTTTTTTTAAACCAGAAATATCATCGCCATACAGTATGGTTATTTTACCGAACTTTTTTTTCCGTGTAGCATTAAAAATTCAAAAATCCGTTTGAAAATAACAGTAACTTTAACCTTAAAAATATAAGACTAACATAGACAAAGAAGATTACGTAATCATTACGTGTAATCAGAACGATCCCCCTATTTGCTAACGCTTTGACCTCAACCAGCCAATAACAGGAATAAATACTGCTCCATACGTTAATGCACTACTGTCCCATAGCTGTCCCAAATATGTAAAAGATATCATCTTGTAGTGTTTCATTGAACCTTATAAATTGATCAAGTCTTTTATGTGTATTTTATTCTTCTTATTTAAAATATTTGCCTCCACCCACCATTCCATAGCCACCACCCATCATGCCTCCGCCCATCATTTTCGTGCTTCCTCCCATCATTTTCACGCCTCCTTCCATCATTTTCATGCCTTCCATGCCACCAGCCATCATCTTCATAGATTGTAAGCTACTTCCAAAGTGAGCTGTTAAAGAAAAACAAATATTGCAAATAAAAAATGGGGAATTTGAAACATCGCATTAAAAATGTGCTGAGAATAAGTAAAACGTTGGAAGTAGTTGCTTTTGAAAAAATCTTAATGGATAAATTCTCTGGTTAGCTATATTTAGCTTAGGTTGGTGCAAAAGAAAAAAAAAGCAAACAAAAAAACAACAACGTGATCATAATTTCTATTGATAAGGGCAATTGTAGGCTGACTGTATATTTCAAAATATAACATGAACCAAATATCTATCGGGTAAGTTTTCTCGTTGATCATCTATCAAAATACAGTAAAATCTCCAATTACGGCATATTGCGAGAAGTTTGTTCTAACGACACAATTCTAAGTCGCTATTAACATTCTAATTTTAACCTTGTACGATTTGGAAAAAATTACGTCTTTCATAAAGTACAAAATTTCGACTACAAACTGATCTAAGTATTTATTTTAAATCAAAGAACTTATTCTAAATAAAAGAAAAATACAGTAGAGCGCGATTATCCGAACCATTATTATCCGAACGTCCAATTATCCGAACTGTGTCTGAATTTTTTCTTTTTTTTTTTTTTAAAGTAGAATGCTTTTTAACCTATCGACAATTTTTCTAAATTGAGAAGAATAAATGATTGAGGATTGATGACCCTACATCTGAGGATCATATTTAATTTACAACCTCTTTAGCAGTTTTCTTATAGTAGCCATACATACATGTATTGTGATACAGTTAAACCTTCATACCCCTTTAGCCCTTTACAACAGAAAACTATCTTCCAAGAATGTAAGCTTCATTTTGATGGTCTACAATGGTTGGAATGCAGAAGGAGTTTATGAATTGATAAGTTCTGAAGTTTTATAATTGGGGAATGGGTAGTTGTAACTTATGGTTAATAATTAGTGATTACAGTGCTTGGAATCTTAAATCTTGGAATAAAATTCTTAACAGAAAAACAAACGAAACTGAAGTTTCTGAACCAGTAGATCTTTCGGATGAAAATGATGAAATTGTTGCTGAAATTTTGAATGAAAATCGGAACTCTACAGACGAAGTGAAAGAAGTAGGTGATCAAGTTCAAGATAGTGGACCTTCTCATATAGAAGCATGCAATCCATTAGATTTCGCAATGAATTGGCTAGAACGTCAAAATGATGTTGATCCAGTTCAGTTGATTTATTAATAATGGCTGCTAAAAAAAGGCGTCTTCTTTGAAACGAGATCTTTGCTGGATTTCTTTTGCAATGGAAAATAATGAAAAATGCTTTAAAATCAGTAATTGAAAAAAAAATTATAAAAAACTGAAATATGATAAAAATAATTCAAAATGAAAAAAAAATTTAAAAAAAAATTCATTAAAATATTTAAAAATTGAAAAAGGAAAAAAATTTTAAACACGCCAGAGCTATTTTAGATAGTACTGCCAGTCCTAAGCCTACAAAAGGTGCGAGGGGAAGTTATTGCATAAATAATAATCATTTACACTAGATTTTAAACAACTTTCCAATAATTCGAACTTTTCATTATCCGAACCATGTCGAACCATGTCCCGAGCAGTTCGGATAATCGGCGCTTTACTGTATAACTCCTTCCTCTCCTTTACTGCTATTCTCACGTTAAATATATGTGTTTAGGCTAAAAACAAGGCTAATGAAGCACAAATAAAAGTACATAAATGAACATACTGTAGTTTCAGTTTAATCATTTAGTCCCTTCTTCAGTGTCTAAATTCCAAATGATGGTAGAGAAGTAAAGAGACAAAAACGTATAAAGTGGTTTGACCAATAGAGACAGATGGAACTTTCTTTAGTTCATATAACATAAAGTATAGTTCGTTCACCAGGAGTTAGCACTTGGTTCTTCCTTCATCACGTGGTATCCGACGACACTATTTCGCTACTTTTGGGAGAAGGATGTGACCAATCCTGAACAAGGTTACTATTTGGCGATTGTATGAGAAAAATACTCATTTCTCAATCTATATGTGAATTTTTTTAACATTAAATATTTTATAAATTTGATGATATTTGTCTCATTTGAGTGTGAAGGGATTGAATTATCGACGATGTCAACATTTATCTATTAAAAAGTACCTCAAGATAGAATCAAGTTAACATGTCTTTATATACTAGTGAATTATTATTTAATATTTATAGTGGTAATTACGTCACTTTACTCCCCTTCCATAATTTTATCTGTGAATTCGATTAATCACGTCTATTTTTAAACTATTTAAAAAAATTAGAGCTTGAATTATATTTCCCTAAAACGTTTTATAAATTATAATCTCGCTTTATGGAAACGTTTTAGGGAAATATTGTTTATATTTCCCTAAAACGAGATAATTTTACCGCTAGTAGTGGATAATTGGATTAATGGAAAAAAAGTTTCTGAATTTGACAATTAAATATATCGGCGGAAAAAGTATCAGCTGATTGAGATGAGGTGATTGAATTAAAAGAAAGCTTTTTAAAATCTCCTTGCAAAAAGAGATCCGAAAATGGGGCACCTTTTTAATTGGGATGAAATAGAACTGAGACATAAGAAATAAAGTCCTGAAAATGGGCCTAGGTGCTTGGCCATGATTGGGTGATTTGTGTGTGCATAATTCACTATCCTTACTCCCATGAATAATGCTGCGAAAGATCTTTCAGGGAAGAAATTATTTTACGATAATACAATAATGATCTAGTTCAGTTAGTGAGAAGCTTTAATACCTTCTTATAAGGGACTATGAAAATTATAAAGAAGCTCCTAATAAAGAACGGAATTAAATAATATTATGTCATTTCTGATAGCGTTAACAACTGATATAATTTTAATGTATGAAGTCTAAAAAAATTATGATAATTCAGAATCACGCTGATACTGATCTCTAGAGTAGTCATTTCACCTATATAAATTATAAAATATCACACATATCTTCAAGAATAATATGAAAATTGCACGAAGCCACCAGATGACGTCACAATGACGAGTATGTAAGAGAGGGGTATATTAGGAATGGTGGCAAAAAAGGAGAATTGTTCACTAGCGTTCTGTAAGCCGCTCAGTGCCATAACCGGATGGATGACTCAGGAAAGACTCAAAAAACGTTTTGGGGGTGACGTTCTAAAATTATCGGCTGACTGGAATGTGGACGCAATTTGGTGGAAAGATCTCAGACACTTGGAATTGTCAAAAGTGTCATCTCTAGTCTTGGTAACAATTACGAGATAAAGGAAATTTCCGTAGACGTTGCAGTACGGGTTGCCACCAAGTTACAACGCCAAATGAAGATCGGTATTTGTCAGTAACTTCAAAAAGCTCGTGTTTTCTTTTCATGTGATCCACTCACGGTAACTCAATGTCCTCCGTGATTTACCTGGAGACGAGAACATACAATGTGGACGTCATCACAGTGAATTTGTGTGATGTTTTCCAGCGAATCAAAGTTTAACTTGCATTCGGATTCACGTAGGACTTTAATATGGAGAACGCCAGACACTCCGTTTCCACCAAGACAACACCATTGAGCGACACCGTTACGGTGGGTAAAATTAAACAGGAACTTTGACAGGCCATATTTATATGGAAATCATTCTGGAACAACATATACTTTTGTTCAGTGGCTGAATTTCTGTTTATGTATTACTCGTCATCACCAAACAAACATCGTAAACGAATGTCTTTAATCTGAGGATATCACCCTTATTGAATGACCAGCATTTTCATCTGACTTGAATCTACAGCATGTGTAGAACTTCCTTGGCCAACGAGTGGGAACCCATAAAATACTCCTTACACGCTTACCGGAGTACATACGTACTTTGGAGAGCATTGCTCGCTTATGGGAGTAATCACCCTCAAGATCAGAAAGATAATTTCATACTCAGCATGCCCATGCATTGCGCGGACTGTATTTCATCGCGTGTGAGACATACAATGTACCAACCATCATGCAAACCATGTAGTATTGTTTTATGGACACGAGACTATGTACTTGAGTGTAATTATGAAATATTCAGTACTTACTTTGCACTCCAGGAGGTGGAGGTTGAGCTTGCATCACTACGTGAGATGGTTGTTCCTTTTGATGTCCTATAGTTCCTGGTTCGTTGGTTTTCACATTTGCTTGGAATCCTATACCAGGTCCAGCCACATAATCAACCTGTCGACGGAGACCCTGAGCATCCTGGTAGCCATAAGAACCTCTTACCATTCCACTACCATCCCCGACTTCGCTCCTGAAGTGAGTACTCATGTGATTCGGAGCCGCATACCCAAAGGCATAAGGTTGAGGCACGTGCTAACCAAAGAAAGAGTAACGCTATGAGATTTATTTATTATTGATGTGATTAGTTTTTAATTTCAAGTTAAATCAGCCCAAGAGGCAATATCACGAAATGGAATTAATTTTAATTTTCCTTATATTTATTTTACACGCATGACATTCCATAATCACCCCTTAATATATATTGTTAAATTCTATATTTATTAAAACCTTACAAATGATTAGCGGGGGAGGTGAGATTAAAAACATCAAATGAAGATTGCGTAGGAAACTAAAAGAAAGTGAGAGGTAAATGAAAAAATGTTAAATTTCGATTAAAAATGTTTTCAAGTCTTGTCCAGGTATCAAACTGGTTTTGATTTTTCTTATTCTGTCTTAGCAATCTTAAATTCCTAGATCTCACTGAAATTTTTTCCCCGCCTAAATATTAATCCATAATGCTCAAGCGTGCATATTTTTGTCATTAAAAACTGAAATTATGGCATCCCATAAAATTTGAGTGCTGAAATGAAAATATTGTGAAAAACTACGTTGCGTAGAGATTACAATGATTAGGTTATAATATTACTTCAGCCAATTAATTTCAACTGTTGTGTATTAAATAAATAGAAAGTTGAATAACAAACATTTTTAAAACTATTCGAATTTTTCAATTGTTGTAAACTCTCCTCTTCAGATATAAACTGTACCTTTGCAAGGATAGAAAGGCAATTTTGAAATCTCTGCATTTTAAACCTCGGCATATACCGGTATCATTCAGATGGTTAGATCATAAGCAATCATTTTTTTCATCCCACAGATTATAGATATATGATGCAAAAGAAATATTAAAATGAACAACTTAAGTTAAAAATAATAAAATCATATTACCATGCCTCCTCCATGTCCCATGCCTTCACCTATCGTACCTCCCATAGCGCCAACTATCATAGGCATTCCATAGACGTAGCCAACGAAGGAGAAAATGACAAATATTTCCTATAAGAAAATTTTATTTTAGCAACATTAATAAATACTATAACAAACATTACTCAAGCTAACAAATTTAATAACAAAACTTCTGGCATTAATAAAGTTTTCATAGCCACACTGAACATTTTAGATTAGAATATTGAAATATGAATTTAAAAAAATCAATTATAAATGTAATATCTATAAAAGATATATTGCCCCAACAATGCTTTAAAGTTTGTACCTAGTTTGTTGTATCATCCCCGTACAAAAAATTTTACCCTGAAAACTTTTTTTTTTTAATGAAACATAAGTTTACATATAAATTCAAATTTCTAGTTTTAGATTAGAATATTTATTCATTTTTAACAAATTAATGCCTTTTTCTATCTACAACTGTCTGCCATTTTTTGATAAAAGCACCCCACTCTAAACATTTTCAAAGAAATTTTTTACATTGTCCTTGACGACTCTACAAACTTAAAAATCGAAAACCAGGTCTAAATATTGTTTTTAAAATTTTCTTAAAAACTTTTTATGTTTTTAAGTTACTGCATGCGCATCTTTTGAAAGATTAAACTGAAGTCCCTGAAACTTAAGCTTGATTTCTTATGAACTATTTGTATTTACCATGCATGTAATATAAACAATTATTATTTTGATTATAGTGAGGCTACAGTGGACACAGTTAGAATTTGTTTGATTTTAGTCGCTTCTGAAATATGTTTAAAATGAAAGGCAATTAGCAATTTTTAAAAGAAATTTTCTTATTTTCTTTGATTTGTTAGCTTATTTGAAGTACTACGCCCCTTTGTTTACCTCATGCAACATTCATTAAGCTTTTACGCGCTGCTATCTTATCTTTTCCAATCTTTTAAATTTCAAAGAAATTGCAAGTGCCAAAAACCTTCAGGTACAGTACTCAAACTTAGCCAACTTTTTAATGAAAACAATATATTTTTTAAACATGTGATTTTTGCACTATATTTAAATTTTTTTATTTATTTTCATTTTTAAACGGACTATTTTTGAACGACATTATAATTAGTATTTTATTCAATTAAAAGAAAAATACATAATTCATGTCATAGAGATATTTTTGCATGTATAACATGCAAAGCTTAGATTGAATTTTCAATATTTCTGGAATACTTTAAAATTAAAAATAAAACCAATTAATTAATAAGTACATGTATTAAAATGTGGAAAAAACGAAACATTTTATAATTGAGCTTACAAAGTTGGATTTTAAAATTTAAAAGAGAAAAACAAACTTTTTTGTTTGGACTTGAATTATCTGTAAAATACAGTTCCAACTGTTATTTGAGATATTTTCAAAGAAATATATCTATAAAAACATATATCTATCAGTACATACAAGGTTATTTATCTGATTGCTTTTAAACGAAATTAAGTTTATCATTTTATTCAATTAAAAAAATAGAATTCAAGTCATAGGATTTTTTTTATGTATATCATGCAACATGCAAAACTTAAATTGAATTTGCAATATTTCTGGAATATTTCAAATTTAGAAAAAAATAAGTTTATTAACAAGTACTTTTATTAAAATTTATAAAAACATAGGAAACCTCTTCTAATTGATTCTTAAAATTTCACAGAAAAAACACTTAATTCGTTGTTTTAGTCTTAAAATGCCAGTAAAATACAGTTCCAACTATTATTTAAGATATATTTTCAGAGTTAAATAAATAAACTTACCTTAGTAAAAGACATATTCAAAGTTAGTACTTCTTCGGTTTGAATTAGTTCTGATACTCATGAAACGATTGCTGTCAGTTTATATACACAAATGATTTATGTCGAATACATTTTATTTATTTTCAAAAAGAAAAACTGCCTAACTGAAACGTTCCATGCAACTTGTATCATCCCTTTAGGAATGTAAGAATTTTAATTAAAAACTGCGGCGTGACACAAAAGACAATATTAATTCGATCTATGACTAAAAGACGTTTAAAGTTTACGACCACACCTTGATAATTAATAAAATCAAATTCACTTGAGGTGGTCTTCAGAAGCAACCTAATAGGAATTAAAACTTTTTTAATGAAAAAAATTTTTTCCGTTTATTTCATTACGGTACCAATTGTTCTTGATTCAAAAATTACTAATAAAAGAAAAACATTAAATGTAGTTGCATTGTTTTTATTACATAATATTTGCTCTTTGATTGCTTCGCCTTCCTCATTGTTTTTCTCGAAAAATTTGATAACTTTTTTTTACTGAAGAAACTATTATTTTGTTATATAATTTTAATTTAAAAACCCTTAATACGTAAACTGTACTTGCAAAATTAAAAGAAAAGAACTGTTCTTATAAAAAATTTAAAATTTTTGAACCCAGAACAGGTGACAGAATACAAAGAAATAAATATACTCGTGAACGAGTCTATAAAATAGTATTACTATTCAAATAAGAAATATTTTTTACCTCCCAAAATTATTCTTCTTACATATTTAAGGGGGAAAAAAGAAAAA